ATTTACCATCTTACTGGTACATAATTTCATATCCAGGAATGCATACACACCATGACTAAATGCCATCAGTAATGCCTTGATCAAGATCCTAGATACCTATACCTGCCCTTGATTTTTGTTTTGTTTTTATTTTTTTTGAGGGAGAGTTAATAACCCCATTTTATTAGTCCCATCTACTGAAGGTTACAAGGTAGTTTAATTCCTTATTTCTTTTTTCATAACAATTTTTTTTACATCATCGTTCATTTTTAAACAGTATTTGCTTTCCCCCGCTCCCTCAGGTGTAGTTCCCATAGAGTTTCCTTCACCAATGTACCCGTGCACCATCACCTCAGTCTCCTGTGCTCCTCCCTTACTCCCTCTGATCCCTCTCCTTCCTCCATACAACCCAGCAATTCCATTACTAGGGATCTATCCAAAGGACACAAAAACATTGATTCAAAAGAACACCTGTACATCTATGTTTATTGCAGCACTATTTACAACAGGTAAAACTTGGAAACAAACCAAATGCCCAAAAATAGATGACTGGATCAAGAAGATGTGATACATGTACACAATGGAATATTACCCAGCAATCAAAAAAGATAAACACATGCCATTTGCAGCATGTGGATGGAACTGGAAGGAATTATGCTCAGTGAAATAAGCCAGAAGGAAAAAGAAAAATATTGGATGGTTTCACTTATAGCAGGAATATAGTGGAACCAAGTAAGACATCAGTGTAAAAAAAATAATAACAGTACAAAACACAACAAAGCAAAAACAGACAATTATAAACCAGAGACATCCTGCCCTTGATTTTTGACACAGTCTCTACATTGTAGAGTCTAGATTATGGCATTTCCTTACCGAACACTTTCTTCCATCTCTCTTCTCTACCCAAATGGGGAGAAGTTAATACCTGTTTCCTAACTCATATTGGTTCTCAGTCAGTTTCTTGTTCTCTTTATATAACGTCATTTTGTTGAATATTTAATAAGAACTCACAAGGAATGTGACTCTTCCAAACATCCATCAGATTCTCTATGTAAAGAGCACTGCATGCTTCTATCTACCTAAAGAAATATGAGCAAATATTGATGCTTTCATCTTCTGAAGCTAAAACAATTGCTTAATTCACTCTAGTCCACCCTAACAAATGCACAAGTAAGCATTGCATATTTCATATCCTTGATGTCATTACTTTCTAGTCTCCACAGATATTTTGCCTTGTCCTTTACATATCTTTAACTTTTGATTCATTTCATTTCCACTGAACAATTCTAATAACTAAAGATAGAAATATTCATGTTCAGAGAACTTCACTGGTAACATAACATTTACAACTGTAGATTATCAAAAGCAACTAGAGATCAACTAAATAAGTTGTGGTTTGTGAAAAATGACAAAATGCAGTCACAAAACTAATTTCTCGTACAGTGTCTGTTTATATATTTTTTAAATGTACTTTCTAAAATATATGAAAAAGTAGCAATTGTATAAATAATTATATACATATGTACACATATATTTACATATATGATTCATAAATATTGGAGTATTATATAGCAGAATGTTTTATAGTAATGTTTGAATGGTATGAAATGTAATATTACTTTTCTTTTATAAAGTTTTCTTAATTTTTGAAATTTTCTGCAAAACATCATGTTATAACCCATAATGAAAACAAGAGTATTAATATAAAAACTCTGAGGGAACAAAACAACAAAGTGTGTTAGGTATAAACCAATTACACAACAATAAATAAGGTATAACTTCAGTGTTAACAGAACTGGAAACTAGTATAGACAAAATTGGGCCATAATTAACAATAAGATGAAATTTTCAAAAAGCTAATGAAATGTGACTTTTTTACATCAGGCGTCTGGACCTGCCACTTGCCAACTTAGTATCTTTTCTCGCCTCCCTTACTTGCTATGTGCACTTTTATGATCTTTGGCTTTTGCCTGCCCAAAATGTAGATATAAAGGCTGGAATTCTAACAGATATTTTTAGTGAATAAATCATAGAATCATTGGAAGAATCCAAAATTTCTGGTGAACTTTTAGAGTTACTTATCAGGCTTGGACCACCAACATCAAGAATTCATATTTAGTGAGGGAAAAATAAAGTACTAATTTCTTTAGATCCCTTTGGATATATATTGAAGACAACTTCTAAGTGATCAATATTATCTAAAAATTTGCCAGTAAAATAAAAACTTTCTCTGTCAGGAATTTAATGATGATTGTGCCACTATATATGAGTGTGTGTGTGTGTGTGTGTGTGTAACCAAATATTCAAGTTCATGATTCAAATCATACTCAAAATGACGGAAAATTTAAAGGCATCCAGGGGAGAAATAGAATTAACATTCAGGAAATAAGGATGTATTAAAAATGACTCAAATTGAGAAATTTATGTTCCATAAAAGGATATACTTTGTAGTTTAATTTCATTGAATTGTATGAAGGATTATTCTTAAAATGAGATTCTAAGCAATGAAATAGCTTTAACAATATGCATTAAAAATAAGTTTCCAGAAACTCAAAATTGTTTAGGATATATATTTTTATCTTTTTTTAAAATGAAGTGTTTTTGAACATCTTTTAACCTGAATTTAGAACTGTGATCTTTCCAGTTATGAGGTCAAATGAGAAATGTGGTGTGAATATATGAACTTTAGGTAGATTATGAGTAAATTTAATATTATGCTTTTTGGTCACTATCAATGCTTTCTTAATGTTTTTATGTCATTGTTTAAACTTACGATATTTACCTCATCTATAACAAATTAAAATCAATTGAATATATTTTTTACCCATTAAACCACACAATTCATATATATGATATGACAGGTTGAATTTTCTAAACATGGCCACAATATATAGCAACCCACATGCTGTCCTGCAACATGACCTTGATATTCACCCATCAAGAAATGAAACTCTCATTACTTTCTGGAATCTGAACAGACCCTGTATTCCTTTAACCAAAAGCTATACTGGAAGTAATACTTTACCAGTTCCAGAGTAATCCTTAACTAGCCTCTTCTGTTTCTCCTCTTGGAGCCCTCAGCTACCATGCAGAAAGGGAAGACTACTGTGCTAAGGAAAAAGGTACTTAGTCATCAGGCATGTGACATTCTGGGTATGCAGTTCATCCAGATTTTAAGATGACTCCACCACCAGTTACCACCTGAAGTCAACTACTTGAGAAATCCCAAGTGAGGCTCTCCCAGCTAAGCCAAGTCAACCCAGAGAAATGTGAGCAATAACAAATTGCTGTTTTATCAACTAAATTTCAGGATAATTTTCTGAATAGCAGTAAAGATAAACCAGAAAAATATAATCATCTTGTGGTCTCAAATCTGGAAGTATAATGTGATAATTAGGCACCCCTTATTTATTTATATATCTGAAATTAGAGAGCTAGATTAAGTAAGTAGGTACGTAGGTAGGTAGGTAGGTATACGTAGATAAGTAGGTATGTAGATAGGTAAATAGATAAGATGAACATGCACTGACCAGAATGTGAATTGTTTGTATGATAATCTGTTTTTCTCTGTCTCTACCACTATCTATGCAAGTTATCTTATTTCAAATTAAAATTATTTCCAATTGTCTCCCAGCTAGTTGCCAATAATTTTACCAACACGGCTACTGTTTATATAATGTGAGTGTGTGCTGTACAAAATGGTGTATTTTGGAGCCATGCATCCTGTAAGAAGGAAGAGTTCAAGAAGCTGTTCATTCTTCAGAAATGTTGAAAGAACTTCAAGTACTGACTAGTTGTTGGAATTACAAGGCCTTTAAGCACCCTTTGAACCCTCTATCTTGAAAAATTTCGGTAATTATCTTTGGAATGGATTATGTTAATATTTTTATAACCCCATCATATTTCAGAAAAAGATATCAGATGTGTCACAAAGGTTCAATCAATAGAACATCATTAAATTCACAGCCCTTTGTTGTACTCAATCAATATTTAACAATTTTTCAAGACTTATATTGAATGATTAGCTTTATTATGAACTCTGGTTGGCCTCAGGGGAACAATGAGGAATGTGATGCCTTCATTGGGAAAAAGTGTAATTTTAAATGGGAGACAGATGAGGACATAACTATGGTGTCAGTTAGCAATTTCAATAAGAACAAAGTGTTATTGGAACAGAAAAAAATATTGCCTTGGAAATGTAGGAAACGTCCTTTAAAAAGATACATTACCCAATACTTGAAATGAGAGGATATGAATTCAAGACTGAAAAACAGTGTAAGCAAAGAAATAGAGTGATGGACATCTATGACATATTCAGGTCATGCAGAACCATAATTCAGTGATTCCTGAAAATAGATCAGGACGAGGTAAAAGATGACATATGAGGATACAAAGGTCATTTGGGATGAATTTCCTTAAAGGGTCTTGAATGATAAGCTCTAGAATTTTAAAAACCTTTCAGAGGTTTTCATATCCAGGAGTTTCATACTCAGAATTAAAGTTAGAGAGACCCTTTTCGATTTCTAATGTGGAATATGCAATGGTGTTCACAATATGGATTAGTTTTATTTTAAAGAAACATGTCAGTCTTGGATTTTAAGAAGGCACAACCTTGATTGGGGGCTGGTGGGGCAACAGGATCATCTCTCAAGATCTCTTTCAATATTAAGCTTTATGAGTTATGTCCCTTACAAAGGAAACAAATTTCAAATTCTTTAAAATGACAGAGGTGGCAGAACTCTTGAGCCACTCTGTTGAAAAACAGGAAGACATTGCTATTTTAAATACACAAGGGCTTTGGCAAGCACATAAACTGTATAATCTTTGACTAGTTAACAATGGAATTTGAGAGGGAAAAAAATCTCGAGAAAAATATTAAGAGAACAGAGTAAAAAGATATTTTCAACTATTACACTAGGAAAACAAGATAAAAATTTGACAGACCTAAATCCTTTTTTGGCCTGCATCATTTTCAAAAGTAGTGTCTACTGCTATGGAAGACCCAGGGGAGCTTTCCTTACCTGTGTAATCTAATTAAATGCATATGAAAGGATTTAATTCTGTAGGGCATTTTAGATGCAGCACAAAAAGAACCATACTGGACTGTCTCCTTGAATTTCATAATCTACAAAAGACAGATAAATGTAGATAGACATCTTTAATTTAGGAAGATAGAAGGATACATTTAACTATAGGAAAAGACAAAATTACATATCCTTACATTGAAAGCTGCATGAGCATCAGTAAGATTACTCCTTGATTAGTTCCATTTCAAGAAGTAACTCAGGAAAGTGTCAGAGAATAATGCCAGGGACTAGATCTCACTCCTGAGACCTGCAGGGAGAGAAAAGGAAAGCTGTGCCCTATTCAGCTTTAACAGCACTAAAATCCAAGGTCAGTGAAGTGATACAAGGCACACAGGATGGTAGGTGCATGAAAGGAGGAGAAACAGGCCAACCACAACACAGCATTAGCCTGGAAATACAAGTTCCTTTTCTTTTCATCCTTCATTATTTGGTGCTTTTATTGGTGTTAGTATTGGCATCTCCAATAAACACATTTGGCCTTCCAGAAGGAAATCTAAGGGTGTTAACAAAAAGTTAAGAATTCATTATATTTCTAATAAACAGAAGGTATAAACCTGTAGTGAGAAAGTAATGTGAAACTGGGATACAGTATAAAATTTGTTTCTGAAACTAACTAGGTGATATGTGACATCAGAATTCTTAAGTCCTTTGAATGACTTGTTAGATGGCAATCAGCCAAGCATATCATCAAATTGGGATTCTAGATCCTAAAGAATCTCACTGTCCTTGAGCTCCTAAAGCCCCAGCAGTGGTAAATAAACAAATAAGGCACATATTTTCCTATAAAATACAATCATGAATAACATAGCATTATTTTTTTTGTTTAAAAACAGAAAATAGTAAGAATTCTATAAGCTAGCAATATGCAGTAATACGTTCGTCATTCATAAATTTGTAATATTGTTCACATAGAATGGTGACATTTATATTTGCTTATAGTACATCCATTCTTAATAGAAGAGTGTAGTCTTATGAAAATAGATAGCTCCACTTTGCAGATGTTGTTCATCTCTTGAGTAGAAATAATCCTCAATGCAGGAATGAGGAAAACCATCTTTAATAGTGTGAGACTTCAGTAAGACAGAGACATATAGGAAGCTTAAGTAAAGACACACAGAAAAAAAGGATTTCACCTACTGGACCTGAGGGTTTAAGATCTGCAAAAGCACCCGGCAATTATATGCCATGAACATGAACCCATTGTTGTAAATGCATTTGTAAGTATGTGCCTCTTGATGAAATTTTGGGAACGCCTTCATTTATATAGTGTCTTAAATTAAGTAGATCCCAAATCACTGATCAGATTCATTGATTATTTAACTGCTCATAAAGGAATAATCTTATAGCCAATACATTTCTGCATTAAAATGTGGCAAGATTTTATTGGCCTGTAATTTCAATATTTCAAGTTTTTATGAGATGTTTTGCCTTTGCCTAATTAAAAGTACATAAGTATTTATAATATAATTCATAATACAATATAGATGTGGCCAAATACAACTTGTGTTAAATTACAAAATATTTTTTCATGGTAAATACTAAATACACATAATTTTTAAAAAAGGGGAAGAAAATAACATCAATTAAACATGGGGAAATGTGGAAGTTTTAAGGTGTGTTAGTGTGGGTAGAATGACAATGGTAAATGTGTGAATGAAAAGATTTTAGATTGTCTAAAAATTCAAAACTATTGATTTAAACCTGATAAAATTATAGTGAAAATAAGGCTGTACATAGAGTTTTAGAAAGTTAGACCAATACTTAATTTGGTCCAAAAAAATCAAAACAGATTCTAGAGTTAACAGAACAACAAAAAAATCAAAAATAAATACGAAGTATCTTAAAATTAGATTAGTGACAGTTTAAGTTCAATAGTCCCAAGCAAAATGAAGGTCCACATATAAAAATACCCAGGAAACCCATAAAGAGGAAAATTCAATTCTCAGTAAAATTGGGAAACACATACACACCCATTCACAGACAGATATACACAGAGTGGGTGTTAGACCTACCCTGTGACTGGCAACAGTGTGCCACTGATTTCATGTTAGTCAAAAATATATTGCAAAATCTGTCATACCACTCAATCTTTCAATATCTTAGTGGTATATTTATAATTATGGAGCATATTATTTGCTACTAATTTCCAAAGTTAAATAAAATATAAGCTTTTCCCAAAGCAAACTTACAAGGTAAATTTTCAGTGGACTATCACATTATAAAATAAGTACAGGTAGTGTAATATATTAGCAGATAGATGCCACAATACAAGAAAATCAATTGTCTGTCTGTGACTTAATGCAACATTGGTTGAAAATGATTAACTAATGCAAGGTTCCCAGATATAGCAGGAATTCCTGATTGATTTAATTTTCTCATACAGAAATTTTTTACAAGTTTGTTGGAACTTACAATAACATTTTCTTTGTAATCACTTTTTTTAAAGATTTATTTATGTAAGCATACAAGAGCTGGAGTACAGGCCAGAGGTGCAGGGGGTGAGAGGATTACCAGAGACAGAGTGGGGAACAGAACAGGTGGACTGAATGAAATACTCTGCTAAGGGGAGCAGCAGGAGAGTCATGAGAGGTCTGCTGAGCCATGTGGGTTGTTTCCCGGGAATTGAACTCCTGCTGCACAGGCTGTGGATTGCTTCACAGTGCTGTGCTTTACCCCTTTCCCCACCAGAGAGGCCTCTTAATCACTTTTAAGTATATTCAGATAGTACAAAGAACTTCAGGATGGGAAGCAACAGGAGTACTAAGAAAATGAAACTGAGGCCCAAACATGATGCTTAGATAAGCACTCAAAAACTGTCTGAATCATAGTGGGAAAAATTGGTAATGGGATATTTAAATTATTTTAAGAGATTTTTAAGCAACTAAATGAATATACTATCAGATAATATAATATAATTATATTATAATATAATTAATAATATAATTATAATATAATATCTCCACGTCCCTAAATAAACTCTCTCAAAACATAATGTAAGTTATTCATTTTCTAAAAATATTCTATTTTGTTGAATATGTTTTGGAGTTAAGGAAGTTGTAGGTTTCATTAAACAATTAGTGTTGGTACATTTCAACAGTCAGCAAATAATTCAGAAATAAATCATAAACAGCATGATGCATCATTAGATTCCTACCAGCAGTTTATTAATTTATGTATATTTATCATTTGTACAAATTATTGTGAAGGAACAAACTATCAGTTTTCAAATAACATATTTTCCTCATATAGAAAAGAGAATTGAAATTCAAACATTTCTAAATGAGAAATCTGTAATAAATTATTTCAATTTATGTGTTATAAATAAAAAATCTTCAGTTAAGCATTTATAAAAATCATTAAAATAACTAGATGTCCTGTATTGAAAAAGAAGTCTGTTTCTCTAAGGAACAAAAATAATGTTTCATCTTTTACATTCATGGATTAAGTCTGGGGTGGCAATATGCTTTAAAATTTTTACTATTTTATTTTCAAATTCACACATGAAACAAAAAATTAATCTTTCAATTTCTACAAGGATCATCCACAAGAAAAATTAATACAGTCAATGCTAATTTAAAAAAAAATACTAAGGCAGAAATATAGACTGACTACTTAACCAAGAACACTTAACAAAAATCAGCAGTGACATTGGAATTTACCAAAAAAAAAGACAAAGAGAATAGACAATTACCACCCTTTCTCTAAGTCAGATGCACTTTCTTCTGCAAACCAGCATTAAAACAGTGTTATGCTTGTTCACAATCTGTAAATTACTGTGATATATGATAAAATTTGCCTCCACATATTTCCTTTTTCACTTTTTTTCTTTTTTCTTTTTTTAATTATTTTTATTTTTTCACATCATTGTTCATTTTTAAACAATATTTGCTTCTCCCCACCCCCTCAAGTGTAGTCCCCATCGAGTTTTCTTCAATTCCACTACTAGGGATCTACCCAAAGGACACAAAAACATTGATTCAAAAGACCACCTATACACCTATGTTTATTGCAGCACTATTTACAACAGGTAAAATCTGGAAACAATCCAAATATCCAAAAATAGATAACTGGATCAAGAAGATGTGGCATATATACATAATGGAATACTACTCCACAATTAAAAAAAGATAAACTCATGCCATTCACAGCAACGTGGATGGAACTAGAAGGAATTATGCTCAGTGAAAGGAAAAAGAAGGCCACAAGGAAAAAGAAAAATATCGGATGGTTTCCTTTTTCACACTTAAATAAGATTTCTAAATATTTCACTAAGGTTTCACTGTTTTTATTTTGCTTTGTTTCAATCCTACCTTTGACTCCAACTTATTTATTGTCTCCTCAGATCTGATTTTACAGTAACTCCTTACATAACTCTTCCAGGTTTGAGAATTATATTTCAGAAATCAGTTGAACAGATTCACTAGGTACCTGTTGCACTAAATGCCAGTAGAGGGACTTGAAAGAAGATACATTAATAACAGCTAGCATTTGTTCAACACTTGCTAAGTGCCAAGCAAAATAATCAGTACATTTCATGCAGTCACCGCAGACCTCATGGCAGCCCATTAGTTGTAAGTATTAGGTGGGAGAAAAATAAAGACCTGTGTTTGTGGGAATTAAATAAACCAATATTATGCAAAGCAAAAGACAAGTTACTTCTAACTGCCACAAAGTAACTTTTCCAAAACACTCAGAAAAGTGTTAAAGAAGATGATTCAAGAGAATGGTACTCACATTGAAAAAAAAAAAAAAAAACCTGGATTAAATATAATGGCTAAATTAAAAGCAAAATTTATTCTTAATTTTCCAACTTTTTGTGTTACAAAAGTTACGAGATAAAACTGGGAAATTTGCTCATTTCCCTCCCTACTTCTATATACACACTATATGGAGAGTTCCGAATTGATTTCATAGTCAGTAGATGCTAAAGACAGAAAAAGGGGAGAGGCGGGAGGGGAGAAGGGAGAGAGATTTCTTCCAAGAACCAGCAGGTTAGAAATTGGAGGGACCCATCTGTGTCTCGCTTTCATTAGAAATAGCTAGTATCTTTAAAGCAACTATTTCTGATTGGCTACAAAATTAAAAGTGTTAGCACAAACAATAAGAACTTTAAGAGCAGCTGCCAATATGAGTTGGCAGTATATTCACATCTGTGTAATGTTGAATTCACCATGCTTCATCCATCAATTCTTCTCTGAATCTGCAGACACATTACAGACAATCACAGTGACTGGTATAATTTAATAACACAGAGGACTATACAATTTACCA